AAGGGATTCTTTTCCCTGGCCAGCACTTCTGAGACCACTTCTGGAGTGCCATGTCCAATTCTGGGCTTCCCAGAACAACGAAGACTGGAGTGATCATAGTGGAGTGATCATACTGGAGGGATTCTTGTGAGGGGTCACCAAAAGGTTCAAGATCCTGGAGCATATGGCAGAGGAAAGGCTGAGAGCTGGGTCTGCCCAGCATGAAGAAAAAGATGGCATGTTTTTGCCATCTGCAAATATCCAGTGAGAGCCTGTAAAGAAGGTGGGGCCTGTCTTCTCAGAGGTGAGCAGTGGAAGGACCACAGGCAACACACATGGGAAATTCTAATTAGATATAATGGCAAAACAAATTCCCTGTGTGGCTGTTCAAACACTGGAAAGGGCTTCCCAGAGAGGTTGTGGGCTCTCCATCCCTGGAGACATTCAAAACTTGGGTAGACGAGCTCTGAGCAACCTGATCTATTTGGTTCTGCTTGAGCATGGGCTGATTTCCTGCCTGTTTCTATTCTATTCTTGTCTAGTCTAGTCTAGTCTAATCTAGTCTAGTCTAGTCTGTTCCTCTATAAAACAGACTGTCCCCTCATAAAACACATTTCACCTTCTATCAGCTGACAGAGCTCTCCAGTAAGGTTATGTTGACCTGCTTCAGTGAAAACGAGTGGGCTTAATTTATATGGTCTAACCAGCAGATTTTTACTGAAAAAATTGTATTTTTGGCTGCAGCAAGTCAAGAAACGAGAGAATTGATTAATTCTTGAGAGGTGGTAACCTCCAGCAGAGTGTGAATAAAGAAAATCTGGGGGAAGTGATCTCTGGATCTAGAAGACGATGATTCTCGACAGACTCAGATATTTAATTTTTTCTCACTCTCTTAAATTCAGGGCAGCTCTTGCCTGGGGCTCTTTTTGAGTCAGAGCAAACAAATTGCTTTGGGGGGCAACCACACCATATAATTTCTGCCATGGCAAACACGCAGAATGATAATAAAGGCAGGGACTGAAGGCAGGGACATTTTGAGTGCGTGGCTTCCCGGGCTTTAAGCGAGGTCTCCGAGCTTGCACAGCCTGCCACTGCAGGAGGAGCAGACAGACACTGAGCTATCAGACCAAAAACTGTGTTGCTCCACGAATGATATGAGCAGAAGATGGGCTGTAGAGGGTCAGACAAACCTTTCTGCCTCCAAAAATGGCTAACAGCAGATGCCTGGGGAGCAGGGCAAGCATGTGGCAGCACTGGAGTGATATTTCTCCAATATGTTCTCCCAGTCTCCAGCAGGAGGATAAAGTGGTTGAGAAATAGCTGTTTTCTTTGTGCTTAGAAGCTCTTGATTTGACTTTTCTTCTATGAGTGGTTTTTTGCAGTTCCTAAGAATACCCCAGCTTATCTCCAAGACACGTGGACGTCCTTTGCTTCTGGTCAGTCCAGTAATGTCACAGGAAAAGCCCTGGTTTGAGCATTGTGAGAGTTCCTGAACCATTGGATTCTCTTCTTTGTGCTGGCCCAGCAATCTCAGGAGATTGGAGTGACTGGAGCTTGGTCCCAGCACCAGTATTAAACTGGAGATCACAGAATAGTTTGGGTTGGAAGGGACCTTAAAAATCATCTTATTCCAACCCCCTGCCACGGGCAGGGACACCTTCTACTATCCCAGGTTGCTCCAAGTCCCATCCAACTTGGCTTTGAACACTTCCAGGGATGGAGCACGAAGTTTATGAAGGTTCCTGAAGGTTCATCTGAGGTTGCTGGTGAGCACAGCCAGGGGGCTGGAAAGTCAGCTCAGCACCATTTCTGGCCATGACACGGCCTGGGGGCTGAGACAAATTGCAAATCACACAAGTGAAAGTGAACTGTCAAGGGTTGCTAAAATTTGGGCTGACATCAGCCCTTCTGTACCTAAGATACCATCCCCCATGGAGGGGAAAAAATAAGGGAAGGCCAGGCTGGAAGAGGTCTTGGAGGCTGGACTTCACTACTGAATAATAAGCCACTGCTGTGGTTATTCCTCTCAAACTTTTTTGCCTCTGCTGCCATTTAAAATGAATGGAAAGGGATTTGTCAGCTCCTGTTCCCTTTGTAAGTGCACTTGCTGTTTGATTCCTGCATCCCATGTTTTCAAAGCGAGTTCATAATAATGGTTCAGCTCATTGAGAGTTTGTTACAGAGTTGGAACCATTACTGTGAAATTACCAAATAAAACATACATTTTCATTCCCATTGGTAATAAAAATTATCGAAGTACCTCTCCTGGGACAATTATAATGAGATAATACAGAACTCCTGACTGATCCCAGTGGCTGTTAAAAAAAAATAAAATCAAAGAGCATTCAACAAGACATTAGCGTGTGCCTTGGCTCCAATCACTTCCCTGTCTCATGGCGTAATGAAGTTATCAAATTAGTTTTAAAAAGGTGAAACTTCCATTTTTCAACCCATCTGACAGGCTCTCCCCTGAATAATGTCATTACAATGAGGTGCACAGGACAGCACAAGCCTTTATTGCTTTTGGTCTAGACACTAGAGGACATAAAGAAATTTTGCCTTCTTGTCTGCACAGTATAATGTTTATACTCAAAGTGTCCAGGCCAATCAAATGATAAAGAACAGGGGTTTAGGCTTTAGGGAGGTTTTTTTTCCCCCTTCTGCACACCCAGAACATAAATACAACCGTATGTTCAAGCCTGCATTTGCAGAAATGTAACATAAATGGCCTACTGGGTTATAGAGCTCATCTGTTTCCCATTTACTGCTCTGCAGCAAATCACATTCTTTCCAAAGAGTGATGCTGTCATGGACAGCCTAACAGCCTTGTTTCCTGGGGATCCAGGATGGAGGTCATGAAACATATTCAGAGCTGCTCTAAGAACCAGTTTTTCAGTCTGACTTTAGCAGAAACCCTGCCCTGAGATGCCTCAGGTGACATTGAAGAGGGCGAAGGGCATGAGAAGATGTTCCAAACCCCTCTCTGGAAGCTCCCCCTCCCTTCATGGAACATTAAGAGTACCAGGACACCCGTGCTCCTAATTCAGGCACTCCAGTCACGTTCCAAAGGGAGGGCTTTGCCCGAGGGCTGGGGCCTCCCACGGTTTGAGTCACAGGGATATTTTCCATTTTTCAAGCATCACCATCTTTCCATCTGCTGGGAAGTGAACCCCAAACTTTCAGGAGCAAGAGCATCAGCTCCTGCGGTTCCAAAGGAAACAGCTCAGTGCTTTTCCTGCAGGCAACAGCAAAACCCTCCTCCTGCATAGGTCAGGCACAGCAGGATGTTGATTTACATATCCATGGAGCAACAACCAGTGCCCCTTTCAGGAGCAGGGATGGTCTCACTGCCTGGTCAGACCCGACTGTGATAACCCAGGTATCACCCTCCTCTCTGAGAAATGGAAATAGGGAGCAAAACTGAGCAACCTCCCAAATGTCCTGTCAAAGCTTCGGAGCTGGACACCCTCCCGCCGTGATTTCAGCCACAGAGCTGCCTGATTTCCTTTGTAAAAGAGCCCCACAGGCAACAAAACATGCACACACAGAGCAACTTCTGTGTTTACCTTGACACTGCACGAGCCACAGCCCTCACTTCTTGCAGAGCAGTTGTGTATATTATCATCTCCTTGGCATCTTGGTTGCTGCTCTCTCCTATTCTCCTTCTGTTCAACAGAGCAGATAAGTTGTTCAGGGTCCCCCCCCCAAGCCCCTCCATGCCTGCACTCCTCCTCTGAAAACCATTACCCAGAATTCCAGCTTTTCCTGTAGCAGCACTGAACAAGCTGTGCTATGGTTTTCCCCCTCCAGGCTTTTTTTTTTATTTTTTCTTTCTTTTTTTTTTTTTTTCCCCCCAGCCGTTCTTGCTGGAAGAAGTAATTTATCCAGTATTAAAACATCTGGTTATTGTGCTCCCTGGGTAAGTTGGCACTGAAATAAGGGGAAAACATACTTCATGTGAGAAGGGGAATATGCCCCATGGCTCCATCAGTCACAAGGTTAAAGCTCTCCCTCCCTCTGCATGGGCTGTGCAGGGTGGCCAGGTTTTCTAGGAGAAGCAGGAGACACGCACAGCTCACTGGGCCTAAAAGTGGAAGGAAAAGTGATAATTTTGTCTTGAGCCTTGCTTTTCTTTAGTTCAGCATTATAGACTGATAACACAGGGGTCTACAGTGGTCTCCTCAACTCCAGAGTCCCAGTGCACGGGAAGAATGATGTCTGTGCTGTGAATCCAACAGCACATCTCTCTGTCTACCCACAGGCTTTATTTTATCACAGAATGGTTTGGATTGGAAGGGACCTTAAAGATCATCCAGTTCCAACCCCCTTGCCATGGGCAGGGGCACCTTCCACTAGCCCAGGTTGCTCCAAGCCCCTTCCCAACCTGTCCTTGGACACTTCCAGGGATGGGGCAGCCACAGCTTCTCCAGGCAACCTGTGCCAGGGCCTCCCCACCCTCACAGGGAAGAATTTTTTCCTAATATCCAATTTAAACCCGCTCTCTTTCGATGTGAAGCCATTCCCCCTTGTCCTGTCACTCCGTGCACTTTTAAATAGTCTCTCTCTATCTTTCTTGTTGGCCCTTCAGGTGCTGGAAGGTCGCAAAGGTCACTCTGAAGCCTTTCTTTTCCAGGCTGAACAATCCCAATTCTCTCAGCTTTATTCTGTAATTCAGCTGCATGGAGAAAGTACCTGGAGAAAGTGGCCTTCCAAAATGCCAAGATGCTGATGGGGAGTGGACTTTTCCAAGTCTCCCCAGGATCCTGTTTCTCCCCTTTGATCAGAAAGCCAGACATGGAAGAAGCCATCACTGCCTCATTTTCCCTTCCTGAAGATTTTCCAGCTTCAGTCAGGTGGGGCAGAAGGAAACACCAATTTCCCAGTGACAGCAGTGGCTTTTGCTCTGCTCTTCCTTTTCACGTGATGAACAATTCCTGCCACACAACTGTTGTCACTATTGCAGAATGGCCTCTCCTGGAGGATGTAGTGGAAGAACCATGACCTGGGAGACTGAACACAGGAATAAGAGGAGCTCTGGTGAGTGCATGATCTTCCCTTAGCTGTTGATGCAAACCTACTGAACTATCACTGCAATTAGTGGTGCAGTAGCTACAAATATGTTTGAGTCACCCAGCTTTTGTTATGGATACAACAGCCATCCCAAAAGGCAGCAGTCAGGAAAGCCAGGGATACACTGATGGCGCACATGGCTGATGGTCAGGTGCTATGGTTGTAGGTTTGCTGCTGACCTCCAAGGCACCCCTTGGTAGCTGCTGTGCTGGGAATGTCTCTGTGGGCAGTGGGACTCTTGGGGCCACCATCAAACAATTCCCGAGCTTTTCCTGTGCTCCATCTGTATTTCCTGGTGCTCTGTTCCCTGTTTCTCTGCTCTTCTCCTCTCCCTTGAGAGCTCTCATGCTTTTTCTAGCATCACAGGCAAGCACTTACCCAACCCAAGTCTTGTGTTCACCCCATGAATGAACTTCCAAGTTCAACCTTCACTCTCACAGTGTCCTGCAGACCCACTGTGACAGTCTGGACCAGGAATCTGCCCTGAGCAAGAAATCTCTGAGGTAAATGATACGGAGACAGCTGGAACTCAAGCTCTGCAGAAGGTGAAGTGTTTAGGTCTCAAAATGGTGTTGTTTTCAGTAACATCTGCCTGGTGTGTGGGTGGTTGTGGCAAAGCTCAAGTGGCTCTTCTGGCACTGTGTGATCTCTTTGTCAGGGACAAATACATGTACAAATAATATAATATGGTGTCAAAGGGGGCGTGCTCAGAGTCAGAGCTCAAGACCTCCACCTGCAATCCCAGAACGTGCCTGTTGGATTTGGATTGGAGAGACTGGGACTGTGCTGCCTGTGGAATAACCTTGAGCAAATCACTCCACCCCTCCACTCCTTCCCTCTCCTCCCAGCTTTGCTTTGGTTATTTAGGAAGGAACTTTCCATTCCAGAATGTGCACAGTGTTTGTCACATCGGTGCATCCTCAGGCTACAGTGTCCAAATGATGAAGAGCAATAATAACTGGTTGCCAATCAACAGAGAATCAGGATTTCTGCTTCTAAATCAGTTGGAAATTGTTTTTCTCTTGCTTTGAATAATGTGCTGGGAATTTGTAAAATGAAGTTCTTTTTTTTTATTTATATTTTTAAATTTATTTTTTTTTTTGGTCTAGCAGCAAAAATACTCTCTGTCAGCATTCCAAAATATGATTAATGCTAATCTTGACCTTTCCAAAGTTCCATACCAGGCAGCTGATGATGCTTCTGTGTTGTAAAGAATCAAACAGAAGGTGTTTCTATCCACAATGAAGTGTTCTTTATTAATGAATGATTTGCTTACCAGGAAATCCAAGAATTCCTTTGCATTCTGTTTTTTACAAGCCTGGGGGAGTTCAATCATTTGGAGTGGATTGAAGGCATGAATATATTTATGAATTTCTCATCTCTTTTCCTCCTTTCTCTAAAGTCAGAACACAAACTCTATTAGCTCATTACTTTAGGTCAGAGATCTTCTTTTACCTTTCCAAGGCAAATACTTGGGTTATCAAATCAGTCAACATTTTGATATCTCAGCTGTTTCTAAGACTTTCCACAATAAGGAAAGAATACATCTGAAAAATGTGAAACAGTAAAAGCTACACTTGTCCAACTTCCAAAAAAGAAAGTATAGAATAAGTTTCTGGACTTGAGTCAGGTGTAAGTCAGGAAGCTGAACCTGGATCCTCCAGGGTGGTGACAAACTTCTCATTCTCTTCTTCTGTGAGTGAACCATAACAACCCCGACCAGACTGAGTACTCATGGACTAAACAACTTCACAGACTCACATAAATGATGTGAAAATGCTTGAACCACTGCTCTGAAAAACTGGGAGAACCTGAAGTTTTGTCAGGTCCTTCAAGAAGTTTCAAGTCCGTGGTTGGAGAATAATGGCATTTTCGTCCAGAGATTAAGGCAAAGTGTTTAATTGCCACAAATTGAGGGATCATTGGATATTTTGCCTAATTATTTCACAAATGCAGCACTTTAAGGTGAGCAAAGTCTTCTGCCACCAGAGGGTCACATGGATTCGTTAAGTTCTTTGAGGGTCACGGACTGGGGGTATGAAAGAACTGTAAAATGTATTTCCTATTTATCGTTATTTATAATTCAGGCCACTTATCTCCAATCACATTTGTCCTGACTGTTTGTGATGTCTGTGATGGGGATGTCTCAGGCCATTAGTGACTAACACTGTGAATAATTAGGCTGTGAAAATCTAATGGCAGGATTTATTATTTTTATTATTATTATTATTATTAGATATTTTTCATTCTGTTGTATTAAATCCATTTGTTATTGGACTGTTTTCTTGGAGAGCAACGCTCCTTTGTACGAAATAATTTTTTTTTGTTCAAAATGCCTTTCATCATGTGATTTAACAGACCATGAAACATCTTATGTTGGTTTTTAGATTTTCAGCCCAGTGTCAATATTTCCATGACGTTAATACATCCCTTGTGTCACCCCTGGAATACTTATATGAAGTCATTGTATTATCTTCTCTTTTTTTCAGCTGTCCTTTTTGTCCTTTCTTTAACTTCCTCCTGTTAGGCATAACAATTCCTGTGCTGGAGGTTTCAGTGATGGGCCTCTTCCACTCCAAATGTCACTTTTGGAGGTCACACCTCTAGAAGATAAATCCTCCAGCCTCCATGAGAAACTCCTGGCTCCAGCTCACCCTGCAGAAAGGTGATGGTTTCTCTCTCTGACCTGTCTGTCCTCAGAGCAGTGCTGACCATGAGCTGCCCAGGACCCACACAACCTTTTGCAGCCCTTTGCATTTCACTTAAACCCAGCTTTATTTCACTTAAAACCCGCTTGATTTCACTGCTGAAACTGGCCCAAGTCCAGCTGAGTCCGTGGGTGAAACTCCACATGGCAGGACTGTGGGCTGGGGGGACCATGCCCTGTTCCAGAACCCACGTGGAGCATCACATGGGACAGGAGATGAGGGAAGCAAGGAATTCCTGCTCTGGGAACATTTGCTGCTGTGGGACCGTCTTGAAGCTGTAAATGTGAGCAGTGCTACAGTCAGTGGGCCATAGAATCATAGAATTATTTGGGTTGGAAGGGATCTTAAAGATCATCTGGTTCCAAACCTGCGCCATGACCAAGGACACCTTCCACTAGACCATGTTGCTCCAAGCCCCATCCACCCTGGCCTTGGACACTTCCAGGGATGAGGCAGCCACAGCTTCTGTGGGCAACCTGTGCCAGGGCCTCACCACCCTCACAGGGAAGCATTTTTTCCTAATATCTGATCTAAATCTCTCCTCTATTAGATTAAAACAAATCCCCCTTGTCCTGTCAGGTTTTGGTAGAATTAAGTCTCTCCTCTCCAAACCTCTCCTCTCCGAACCTCTCCTCTCCTCGAGCTGAAATTTTAAATTTTAAAACTGTTCCATTTGCTCTTCTCCTCACAAACCATTTGCTCTGTTGCCTTCTGCATTCTCTGCACTCGAGTAAACTCTGCTCATTCTGCGACTTGCTGGAAAAACCCCATTTATTCCCCCACAACAAAAAGCTGTTGTCAAAAACTTCGAATCATCCCATCCATCAGGAGCTGTCTGAGCCATGTGCACGTGCAGGGGGGCAAGTGTGTGGTATGTGCAGTTGACAGATTCATTCTGCCCCTGTGGCTGCTCCACGGTTTTTCTGGACTCTTTGGGGTTTGTCTGGACCAACGTTTACACAGACACAAACCACACGCTCTCCCCCAGGGCACTTCCACACTCCCTTTTTTCAATTTGGGGAACTGAATTATGGTCACAGCAAAACCACTTTGGTTGCTGGGAAAAAAAGTCCAGTTCACCAGAGCTCTTGCCCTGAAGCCACGTTGATTTGCCTGTGATTTGTGAAGGAAAGGGGTTCCTTCTGAGAGCCCCCCCCATGCCCCAACACCTGCTCCTTGCCCCATTTTTTGCATTCATTTATTTCTTTCCCACAAAAGAAGGTTAAAACATCTGGAATTTTTTTTTGCTTCTTGTTTTTTCATGTTCTGCTGGTTCACTTGAAAGCTAAATCATGGCATTTTTGGGCCAGTTTTGCCTCTGAAGGTCTAAATGCCTCTATTTTGGGAGACAAATCTGTTGGTGTGAGTAGGGGACACCACATTTTCAACAGGCTGTTCTGTCCTGAAAGGCAAGAGATGAAACCAGAACTCATTCCCAAAGCTGCCACTGGTTTTCCAGGCTGCTTTGGCAAAGCCACTTCACTTCCTGGCATCTCCTGGGATGATGGGAACTGGAAACCAGCACAGTGCTCTCCCGTGGCAGATTTAACATCTTGCATTGCTTTGTCCCATCTGTGCCTCCAGCTGGGACCTGAAGGAGCTGGAATATATTTCCCTGCAGAGCTGTGGCTCCTCAAAGAAGAAGCAGAGAATGGTGGCTGTGGCAGCTGGAGAGATGAACCACCACAAATTTCCTTCAACTCTGCTGTCCTACTTGCTGCAGGAGAGCATTTAAAGGATGCACATCTCTGGAAGTGTTCAAGGCCAGGTTGGACAGGGCTTGGGAGCAGCCTGGGTTAGTGGAAGGTGTCCCTGCCCACAGCAGGGGGCTGGAACTGGAGGATCTTTAAGGTCCCTTCCAACCCAAACCATTCCATGATTCTACCCTTCTCTGACAAAATGACATGTACACACACTCCTGAGCTTTGAGAGTGGCACACCTCGAAAATTAGGACGTGCCCAAACTACCCTGAACAGAAAATTAACTCTCTCCCAGCTAAAACCAGCACGTTCTGCCATCCTGTGCCCAGACTCCTCCAGCAGACATGAATTTCATTCAACATTTCTCCTCTGTGACCATTTCTTGTGCTAAAAAATGGGAGGGGTTTATTGCTAGGACAGGTGGGAGCTTCAGGTGGGTTTCAGGGAAGAGTCACATAATTTCCAAACTCGTTTATCAGCATGCCTACACAGGGTGAACAACTTGACTTTCAGTGTCATTTTGCAGTCAAGTGCAGTTTGCTCTTTAAAGGCATTATGCCCTTTTTATAGGATGTAATTCCATAATTAACTGTGAGGTCAGGAGGGTGTAGCTGGCCAGGGACAGAACCTGAGGGAAAAGAGCTTGGGCTGGAGGCAGGTGTTGAACTTCCAGGGCTGAACTCACGAGCTGTGAGCACCAGGTGGTAAATAAGCTTAGAGGGTGGATGAGCATCCTGGATGCTCAGGAAAGGAAGGGCAGAGTTTATGGACATCTTTCTCCACCCATCTGTAACATGACCTGCTGATCCTGCTTCCATAAGCTGTATCCATAGCTGATGTCTATAAATATACCTCCAATATGAGGTGAGCTCCCATAATAAGTCAGAGAAAAAGTGGTGTGGGAGACTTTGCCTCTTTCACTTTATAATTTCTGAGTAAATATTTGGCCATGCTTCACTGAGACAAAATATCTTTATTATTCTTTAGTGTATCTTTATTGTTACCCCTCATCCGTGTTTGGAAAAGGGCACAACTGTTGTGTCCTCATGGGATAACCTTTGCATTAGAAGCATTTTCCAGGTCAGTCCCATTTTCCTTAGAAAAATATAATTCTCCAGCCAAACTCTTTTCAAAACTCCCCCTCTCAGTGTCCCAGCCTGTTTGTTTAAGTCATAACCATTTGTTTGGAGGAGGCTTTTATTTAATTTTGCAATCATATCATTCTAAAAAAATTATTAGCCTGGGATATTTATTTATATTTTTTTTTTTTGTTCTCATTTCCTCAAACTGTTTCCTTTGAACTGCCCAGGCCTGGAGAATTTCAGCCAAAAGGTGATGAAATATGAAAAGAGAAATGTAATACTGAAATGTTTAAATAATATCAGCTGTGGTTGTCACCAGAAGCCAGTGTTGTTCACTGGGGGAGGAGTGAAAAAGGGGGTCCTGTCAAACAATCTAACCCTATTTGTATGGGGTAAGAGATGCATTTATGGGAACTTTTGACTGTATGGAAGTTTCATCAGTTTGCTTTTGGAGAACTAATGGCTTGTGGTGCAACAGTGCAATTCTGTGAGAAGGAACAATTTTGCCTGGGAAATGTGTCCATATTTTCACTTGTTCTTGCTGCAAATGCAGGAAGGAAACTGCTGGGGGTCCTGTTCTCTCTCTGCTCTCATTCAAATCCTTGCTGCTGTCGAAACCCTCCTCCCCTGCTGCAAACAGCCTCTTTCCTCTCCAGAACATTTGCAAACATAAGGCAGCTTCGCCACAGATTGTGGAAAAAAAGTCAAAGCGTGCTTCACATTTCAAGAATATTTCGTTTTATTGCCCAAATTTCCTTCAGCTCCAGGAAACGCAATTCCCATGTTTGCCCTTTCCTTCACCAACTCGCCTGTGGTCCCGTCTGCAGCATCTGCTGTGCCAAACCTCCCACCAGGGTGAGTTGCCTTCCCCCCATAAACTTCTTCCTCGGTGATTATTTATTTTCAGCGCTGACCTAAAACTCACCGGGAAAGGTGGGAAGGTTTCTGTGGGTCTCAGGGGACTTTGGAGCGAGTTATGACTCTTCAAGGTGCTGCAGGAAGCAGTTTTTGCAGGACAGAAGCTGGGTTTGGGGAGCACCTCCCCTTGCAGGCATTGCCCACATCCATCTCAGATCCACCAGGGAGACCTCTCGGCAGGGAAAGGAGCCAACTGAGTCAGACTCAATGCTTTTTTCCTTGGCATGAACTGATTTTGTTACATGAGCTGAATGGCAGAAAAGGGAGGAAAGGGCACGTTGTGCCTGCAAAAGCAAACCTGGAGTGTGCTCTAAATACAAGATTCCCCTCTCCATCTGCTTTGAGGTCGGAATTGCTGCTGTCCCCGATGATTTCATTCCCAAAAATGCAGTGGGCTGCTGCTGCCACAAGTCATGTGGACAGGAGGGGGATGGGAGGAGGAGAGAATGTACGTCATAAAGATAACAAAATCATCCCAGTAATGCCCTGTGATTTATTGCTCTGTCTTGTGGCCTCAATAACTTGGGTATCTTTGGTATCCCTGAGTTTTACAGCTTCATGCTGCAGGAATTCAGACCTTCTCAGCCCCCAGGAAAAGTCAAGAGGGGTCTGTTCCCAGAACCCTCCACCGCTGGTGGGCATCTGGTGTCCTGGGGAGGGGAGCCCTGGGGTTTATTTTACTTATAAAATCATGTCTGTGGTGTGATATCAGCACTGACAGCAGGAAATACAGAGCCAGCTGTGGGTTTGGAGGTGTGGGAAGGAGCAGTGAAGGGTGGCAGGGTGGCATCACCAGGATATGCCTGCCCCAAATTCCTTAGGCAGTGATGTAATTTTCTATAAGTCTTTTTTTTCCCCTGTATGTTTTGCTCAGTTTATTGCCCTGCAGAGCCTTGCAATGCCATTCCCACCCGGGCTTAAAGCATCTCCTCTGGGCACCTCCCGCTTTCCTGCTCCAGCCTTCACAGAGCACAGGAGCTGCACAAGGATGTTTCAGGGAAGTTGTTTTGCTTTAAAAACCATTTCATCTCAGCCCTCTGTTGCAGGGAAGGATCCACAGTTGTGCCAACAGGGAGTTTCTGCTCACAGAGGCAACATGTTTCCTGTGCTCCTGGAGAGACAAGAGTCTCATAAACCTTCTCACCTGTGATGGTGGAGATTCAGGGCATGAACCAGCAGAAACCTTTGATAATTCCTACAAAAAGGAAGAGCTGTAGCAGGAGACCAATCCCCAGGACATGCCTAAGATGGGAAAAATCCCTTGTTCTGTACCTGGCACAGCGGGGACACAACATTTGGCTTTGCAAATGCCAGGAGAACACCGACAGAGGGAAGAGAGACAGTTTTTCAGGAGCAAAATTTAAAGAGCTTGAATTCATCCCCACATAATTATTTTGAATCCTGGCAGGATATAAAATAATTTCCCGTCCAGCTTTACCAAATCATGGACTGGTTGAGGTTGGGAGGGACCTCTGAGGGTCACCTGGTCCAACCTCCCTGGTCATACAGGGCCACCCAGAGCCAGTTACCCCAAATCATCTCCAGAAAGCTTCTGATCATCCCCAGGGACGGAGATCCCACAGCTTCTCTGGGCATCCTGTGCCATTTCAAGGAAAGAAAGACTCGAATCTTGGAGTTTATGCTGAAACACCCTCAGCCCTGCCAGCTGTTTGTGGATGCAGGGCTTGACACTGCACATGTCTTTAATTCCAAAGGTGTGAAATATTGCCTCAGGTCAATTTGGAGAGTGTTTTTCTTCTAGAATTTAGCCTTGAAGCCCACAAATCTCATCAACAAGAAGCAGCACGAATCTTTAAAATTGAGCGGTGGGTAGGACCTTGCTGCTTTAAAATCTTTTAACCTTTGCTGTGCTTCTGTTCTTTGAGTTCTTGCTCTGGTGACTTAATTTCCCTCACCAACATTTTTAGGTGGTTGTTTATTATTATTATTATTATTATTATTATTATTATTATTATTATTATATTGCTTCTTCTCACTTTAATAGTGAAAGAGAAGAGCTGGAGAATAATCACAGGAGCGCACCAGCCCTGGTGATGCCATGGCCATGTCACAGAAGGCAGCAACTTTCTACAAGGACACTGACCTAAGGGCAAGGAAACACACAGCCCAGTCTATATCCCACCATGACCCTACAGGAATCTGGAAGCTTCTCACAATGGAGAACTTCACCCCCCCCCGAACTTTGCATGAGCCTTATGACAGAATCAGAGAATCACAAAAATTCTCAAAATTCTAATTCATGAATCCCTTAAACAGCTCTTTGTGCTGTCTTCTTTTGAGGGAAATCTGTGGAGATTTTCCTTATTGTCCTTGTTTCCTCACCATATTTATCACAGAAACACAGAATCACAGAATGGTTTGGGTTGGAAGGGGCCTCCAAGCTCATCTCATTCCAACCTTCCCTGCCATGGGCAGGGACACCTTCCACTAGCCCAGGTTGCTCCAAGCCCCATCCAACCTGGCCTCGAACACTTCCAGGGATGGAGCAGCCACAGCTTCTCTGGGCAACCTGTGTCAGATCCTCATCACCCTCACAGCCAAGAATTTCTTCCTAATATCTAATTTATGTATCTTTACCTTTTTAAACAAAGCATTATTACAATAGGTGCTTAAGGAGGCAGCTTTCACTTTCTTCCAGATACTCCCACTGTTGTTCTGGCCCTTTTCTTGTGTCAGGATGAACATTTAAGCAGCCCCAGTGAGTGTGACCAAAACTAAACCCAGCTTAAAAAAACATCCCATCCTTTCCCCCTGCAATCTGGACCAGTTCCCCGGACAGAGACTGTAGTCTGAGGCTGAGTTATTGCACTATTATTCCTGCTACAATTGCTACTTTTATTTTTCTATTAGTGTTATTATTTCTACTATCTCCACCTGACTTTCAGTGAGGAAATCTATGACAGTGCTATTTTCTGCAAAAACACATATCAGGATCCTTCTGCCTCTGGAAATAGCCAAGAGTTTGGGTGCATTTCAGGGAAATTTGCAGATGAAGAAACCTCGTGGCATTTTCTGCCCCATTGAAGCTTTACTCCAGCAGAAAGGGCAAGTTGCACCTAATGTCCTTTATTAGCACTGGGCTTTTAGAATGTCTCTCTCCCTCTACTATCTCATTGCAGCACCTAGGAGAGCCAGGCACTTCCCCCAGGGAAGCCAGCTCCACTTAAAATGGGAATTACAAGCATTTTGGTGCTGAAATCAGTTGTTTGAAACCATCTGCAGCCTTGCTGCAGCACTGCTGTATCCTAACTCCATCTGCCAAAGCTCAAGAGAATTGAGGTGATTGGAGCCTTGGTGTTGTGAAACAGCATGGAGCTCGGGCAGAGAAGGGAATTCCACATCCAAAAGAAAATGAGGGAATGTGAAGCTGTCACTGCTGGAAATAACGGTCCCCATTTAATGAAAGCAGGGAGTGCTGAAATCCTGTACTTAAAGATGTGAGCAACAGAGCTGTGGAACACATACTGTTTTATGTCTTCAAAAGCCCGTCTTACTTCTGCAGAGCTGTGCTTTCCCCTCAGCTTAAAAGCCAGAGAATTCCCCTTGCCTTCTCTGGCACAATCTTTATTGGATTAACTGCAGTAACTCCAGCTCGAAAACCTTCTCCCTCCGATTCTCCATGTGGAAGTCAGCTCAGGTTACTTGAGCTGAGGCTTTCTACTTTATTACACCTGTTCAGCCTGGAATAGGCCAACTGAGAACATTGAGATCCTGCATTTCATACCCCTCCAAACTGTCTTCCAGTTGTCTTTAACTTGGCTGCCTAAACCACCCCAGTGGCACCTACAACCCCCTCAGTCCCTCTGATCTCCATCCTCTTCCTCCTCTGCAGAGAACACTAAGTAGCCTGTTTTGCAACTTCAGGAGGGCTGAATTATTCATTGCAGAGGCATGAATGTAGCTCTTTTCATCTGTCCCTGAACAGATTCTGATCTCAGGGAGTGCTTATTGTTATTCAGAACTGTTCTCTGGCTACTTGGGATAAACAGCTTCAAACCAGTGGGTTGTTTCCAAATTCTTCCTTGCTGTTCCCCACCCCAGGGCTGGTAGTGATGGCAAGTGCTTTTTCTACCAAGTGGGTGGCTGAAAGTTCAGAGAGAGAAGATGAAAGACGGAAAGCAAAGGAGAAGCAGGGAATTATAATTTTTTTTTTTTTTCACGCTGCTGCCCTTGTTTTTATGCATATGTGGATGCTTTCTGGGAAAATGATCATTCCTTGAAGGAGAGTGTGAACGAGCATCCTTCTGTGGGAATGTTCCCAAATATGAAATGACAATGGATATGGATACTGTCACCCAGAACGGGTGCATGGGTTTCAGAGAAGGAGCAGAGAATGGCAAGTCTCATCACAGATTCTTCATCTTCCCTGCTCCTCATCTCCTGTTCCTCCTTTAACCACCACACTGCTTGCTCTCACTGGAAAATCTAGAGGGGTCTGTGGAGATCAGAGCACACCTTAGCTTTGGATGTGAGGATAGACATCTGGAGTCAAGGTTCAGCCCAGGCATAGCCTGGACTTTTGGGGAATCAGAGCCAAATCCAAACCTGGATTTGCGTCATGTCCCTTGAAATATGGGGCTTAGGGTCTGACTGTTGGATCAGGTTTATTCTGTTGGATGGTTTTGTGTTCAAGAAATGACTGGACACTGCAGTGCCACGGTCTGGTTGTCAGAGTGGTGATCAAAGGTTGGACTTGATGACCCCAGAGGTCCTTCCCAACCTAATGATTCTGTGATTCTGTTATTTTGAATTCAAAGGGTTTTTACTCCTTGCTCTTCTTTCCTAAATTGCATCTTTGGGGGGACCTTGAAGAAAACTCTCCGGATTGCCCAAATAACATCACTGGATGCTACCCCCAGGTTGAGGGGAACAATCTGCCTTCCCAACTCTCACCTCAGCTCTTTTCTCTCAAATCTGTTTCAAGGGACTTCAGAGCAGTGCCTGGTGCTCAGTGAAATGACACCCTGTAATTACCTACTGGAAATGTGTCGCTTCCCATATCCATAGGGAACAGACAGAGCTTAACTGTGTCACTCCACCTCTCCCTTGTCTGATGCTTTGGGAAAGAGACACCACTTTGGCAGTGACAGGGGAAAGTCTGTTTGTAAACAATGTGTAAATCTTCAAGGGGGTTGGTAATAGAGTGGCTTGATTATTTCAGGTTCCTCAGCAAAGCGAACATTTATCAGGGCAAGAACAAGCACAGAGAGACAAACTGGGAGTTTATAAAGGAGTCACATTCAGTTTCTGAGAGAGATATTGCAGTGCTGTGCTTGTGTCCAGGTGTAGGTCACAGGGAGAAAGCTCATTTCTGCAGTGCAGACTCAGGGGAGAGATGGTCCAGTGATTTGGGAACTCAGGGAATTGGGAGTTTATTCTCCCTTCCCCCTCCAAGCCTCTTCCTCACTTGCATTCCAAGCACTCTGTGCAGCTGGGAAGGCAGGAGAAAAGCAAAACCTCTACATTATCCCTCAACCTGCAGCTGAAGTCTCTGCTGCAGGATCCTTTCCTTTGGTGGATGCTGGATGATGGACAGATGGATTATTCACACGCCAGGTGCCATTCCCAGCATGGAGAGTAAGAGAAAAGCAACCCCTTCTTTTGCTTCTCAAGCGGAGCTGAGCTGCTCTGGAAAACACTGAGAGCAAGTAAATATGGAGCATGACTGTCTGTCATTCCCACATGCTCACAGCTACTGGAATATTGCCATTTCCTTCAGAAACAATGATTATCTTCCACCTGCATAAATCAATACTGACCTCAACACCAGCGTGGGCCACATTGTCTGAGTTATTCCAAGTTCCCATGAGAGAGGGTGGAAAAAAGCAAACATCAAGGAAATCCAGCTTTATTACTTAGGCTACAGCACTGCCACAGTGATATCTCCATGTGAGGAAACCATGTCCAGAGCTGGGAGAGATGGACCAAACTCTGAGGAAGCCTTGGGATTACCAGAGTTCCAGCCAAGCCTGTGAAAAGTCTGGTGTCCCTTATTCTTAAATTCAGCTCCTGAATGAATCTTATGAAGATCTTGACATTGAGAAAGAGTGGCAGAGTGAAATAAGTCTTATGATAACAAGGGGTGTCTCAGGGTACCAGTAGCTGATAACATTTACAACATCCCCTTTGAGGAACTGTGCCCTGGGATGGTTCACATGTTCACATCTGGTCTCTGCAAGTCCAGAAGGAATTAGGGAGGGTCAAGAGCAGCATTGCTTGCAGGATCTGTGTGTGGCTTTCCCATTTGCAAGAAATGCCCAGTACTTAAATTCAAGGAGGAATGAGGTTGGAGGTCACTGGAATTTGAGTTTCTTTAGTGCATCCAAGACTTTCAACCACCAGTCCACCAGACTTCATCAACCTAAAAATGTGGGGAAAAAGCACTAAGAGTCACCTCTGAGCTAGCACCTCTTTAGAGGGTACAGGAGAGGGGGTTTGATTCTAGCAAGGTATTTCCTCAGTGTGAAACTTTCACTCTGTGCTGTGGCGTCAGAAAAGGAACGTCTCCAGGGCTTCAGTGCAGGAGGTTTTTGCCTTTATTGTGCTGCAGCCCCCACTAAGGGTCATTTCCTGGGAAGTTCTGAGCGGGAATTCTCTGGTAACAAGTCCCAGCCCTAAGTCAGGCATCACAACTAAGTTTACTTCCATCTTGCCCAAGGAGCAGGGTCTCAGACTCACATTTGAAGGCATCACACTTTCTCCTGAATCAGATGAAAGGGAAAAGAGCATTTCTAGACTTTATGGAGAGAACCCTTCATGGGTTCCATTCACCCAGGGTTCCATTTCAATCAGGAATCCTGTATTTTCATCCCAGTTGCAAGACCCACTGCTCCACAGTGCTCCACCAGGAATGGCAGATGTATCTCCAGCTCTCTCCTTGCCTACTGTCCCTCTCCTAAACACCTTCTGCCCTGCTTGGCTTTATTTGCTGCACTCTGGGAGAAGTTTGAGCTGGAGATGGGATGCCATTATCAATGTTAGATCCAATATGCTGT